CGGTCGAGTCCGAGACCATCAAAAACTGGTCTCGAGACCAAGACCGATCTACAACACTGCTGAACCTTCAATATTAAATACGGAAACAAAGTTTATTATCTAGTGATGCATCAATAAATCGGCTCAGATTTTCTTCTTTTTGGCCAAAGGGCCGATAATTACTTGGGAAACCGATTTTATCTCTCTGCAAAGTTCTGAAACTCGGCCACTGTCCTGACTGACTGACCTACCCATATCTGGACGTCACCACAATGTTACCAACTTAACTGACCAGCAACAATTGCTGATTTTTTTAACAGCTTTATTTTCTTTTTTTTTCCATAATGGAACTGAAGTAGTTTATTTTATCTTAGAAATGTATTTTCCACTTGGATATTTCCAATAAAAAACCTCAACCACAGATGTAAGAATGACTAAATAAACCATTTGTGTTTCCCCCTCCAGCTCAGAGCCCCAGAGTAGCCTACCCTACAGCTGCATCCAGCACTACTGTTACTGGAACGTTGAGTTTCTTCAGGGCCTCTGCCATATGCCGTCTTTAACAAAAGGAGAAAAACACAAAATCATTTAGTGTCCTCTGAGAAAGAAACTAGTTCTCGCTCTACTCCACTCGCTCACCCTGCGGCGTCAGGCTGCGATTCGGTAACGTAGACAGAGAAGCGCTTTTTCTCCGCCGCAGCTTTCTCCAGCACCCGCAGGACCACTCTGGAGTACGAGTGAGTCAGGATTTTCTGAGAAGATTTGCAGGGGGAAAAAGGCACGAGGTGAAGCGAGCGCAAAGAGCAAGGAGACGAGACCGGACCGGTACTTACAGCTCCGTCTTTGATGAAGGTGTGACAGAGCTTAGCGACTTTGTTCCTGGACATGGAGATCTTCTCTAGAAATAGTTCTCCTCTTTCCTCCATCACCTTCTTACAGCGAGACAAATCCTGGAGACAGAAACGCCGTTACGGAGCGCAGAGACTGATCTGGGTTAAGAGTTTTTATTTTAGAAAAACATGGATCAGTGGTGACCCTTATGAGGAATTATTGGCCTTTTAAAATCACACCAAAACAATATGGAAGAAAATGGCAACTGGCAAATATGACCTTTCTTGGAAATTAGCAAGACCAAAACCCAAAACCCATCTCACATTTTCTATAAAACATCTTGATGAGTAAAAGGCAAAGCTTTTTGGAAGATGTCCTCCAATTAGATCAGATGATAAAATAACAGCATTTTAGAAAAAATAACATGCAGAAAGCAGATGTGGTGGAGGTAGTCACAACCTTCTGTTATTCCTAGAGTCTAGCATCATCAAGTGGCTAAAAATCAAACAAAAAAAATCATGAAGTTGGTCTGGGACTTTAACTCAGAAATTTGGATTATTTAATGACATAGATTATAATGTCTTAAAAATATTAAACATACAAATATTCTATCTGGAATCTTTATATTTTTCATGTTTCTGGAACGCCCATATATCTGACGCACAGTCGCAAGTAACAGAGATGGACGAAACAGCTGCTTCTCCCGGCTCACTTGGGGGGTTATTTCTGCTTCAAAATGATCTGATTGGACGCTGGAAAACACTTGATGTGCTAAAAGTAGTTAGCATGTCAGTGAAGCTACTCAAGCCTAAAATAGCATCTCAATGCTAAACACGTAGCAGCAGCACAGACGTCCCCAACGCTAATATCAGCGTCCACAGCCAACATTTTCTAAAGAAGGATTTTTTTTTCAAAGAAGTTCCATAAATGATTATTCTGACAGCTGAATGGGTATAATAACACTTTGCACCAGTATAGTGGTTGAATAATCCAAATAATAGATTAAAAACAATAAATATTTCTGTTGAGCTCATATGTCTATATATTTAATAATTTAGCAGCAAAGTGGGGTTTTGAATTTGAAGTGTTGCTTATTTTGTAAACATGGTTTTAGATTAAAATCTGATTAATTACAGATCCTGCAATTAACTCCATTAAAAATTTCAATTGAGTCCCACAACTAATCTAAAGGTTTTGAAGTGGCCTAATCAAAGTCTGAATTTGTTTCCAGTTCAGATACTTAAGTGGGGATGCTCAAAAACGTGGCTCATAATGACTCCACAGTGACATAAAAACCTGCTTCACGCTGTCAGTTGTCAGACACTTAATGGCCGACGTTACTGCCTAGTTATATTTATGCCTTAAGTAAAATCATCACTCTCAAACTGAGGTTTGTATTAACTGGGATTATCTTTTATGGAAACTGAATTCAGTTCATGCTCTTAATTAAGAGCATCAACATTAAGAGCAAAAACAGGAGAAATTGGCAAGCAGGTCAATTTACATCGCTGTAAAATTTTTGACTTAGATTTATTTCTACAGCAATCTGATGGCAGGTGGATCAGATTTGTTGGTGATGCAAAAAAAACCGTGAAACAAGCGTCACCTGATGCTCCAGAGATGTGAGGCTTATGAAGCGCAGGAACAGCTCTCCTCCAGAGGACACGGCCACAGAGGAGTCCTCTCCCTTCAGGCAGGCTGTGGCCCACGTCAGGCTCTCTCTCAGACCCAGGATGGTTTCACCTGGACGGACGGACGGACATTCAGACTGAGCCAAACACATTCACATCACGATTAGAGCTGCAGCTAACTGTGATTTTGACCATTGATTAATCGGACAGAAATACAACAAAATACGCACAAAAAACAATTCAATATAAGTCAAAGGTTTTAAATAAAAAATAATAATGAATTGCAATAACTTTTAATGAAAGCTTGATCATTTGTACCAAAGGTTGCATCTGCAGCTAAAAAAAAAAAATACTGTCTAGTAATCTGTTCATTATTTTGGGGGGATTAATAAATGGTTAACAAAGGGTGCTTAATATCTTCTTTAACAGACTTTAAGCCAAGAGAAGCTAAAATTGCTGGGGTTGCTAGATAACATTGCAGTATCCTCAGATTATGACTTCATTATCTGAAGGTTTTTGGAACAGCTCATTTTCCAGACATCAAAATACATTAACTTACTGCCAGAAAACAGCTGGGTGGATTTTTTAAGAACTTAACTTGTTTTTTAGAAACCTAAAATGGAAGTATAAAAACATGCAAAGAGTGAATTTTGCACAATAGTTCCCCATTAAAATAATAATCACTGTTGTTAAAGTGAAACAAACTGACTGACAAACTAACCTGAAGATGTTGATTTCATTAAGTTTTTTATGATTACATAAGGTAAGGTAATTTTATTTCTATAGCACATTTTCAGCGACAATGCAATTCAAAGTGCTTTACATGAATTAAAAGGAAATACAAACAAAACAATAAACCAAACCAGAGAGCAAACCCTCTTTCCTTTGGTTTGTAAAGTGACTATTAAATGTACTTTTCCAGTGATCATCTGAAAAACCCACCTTTGTCTCTCTTGAGGAACTCTAGCAGGGTGCGGATGGCTGCCACGGCAGAGGCCATGTCCGGGTCTTTCCTCATCTGAGCCCTGAAGTACTCCACCAGTTCTGACCAGAGACCACAACCAGACAGACAGATTCAGCATCACCGAGAATCACACGGAGCAGGGGACGGAACTCCAGGAGAAACTCACCTTCTTCATTCATTTTCAAATCCTAAATGGAGCCAAAAACTCTTTAAGATCAAAACAAACTCCGAAACTTTTATCACTATTGTTATAATTAGATATTGTTTTACAGGAGCAGTCAGTTCGCAGATGTCTGACACCTGCCAAAACCAAACCCACCGCGACGTTACTGATTCAAATTACCTATAAATGTTTTGAATGTATATATTTTAAGCGTTTAATAATATCAGCAATAGTTAAAAATGGCCAAATTTTGTCTAGAAATACGTGCCAGTCGCTTTCTGCTGAATTACACACTGTTAGCTCATGCAAAGTTCTGCCAGTTGACGTGTCGCAGAGTGATGACGTAAACCTCCTGTCAGCTTCACGGACTGCTCAGAAAAATAAAACTCGGAAGTTAAAGGAAGACACATTTTAATGTAGGTGGTGGGAAACTGGGGAAATAAAATTTGGACTTGGAAAGCTGCCTAGTTTAGAGCAACAAAGATACGCGGAGCGCCTCAGTAACATAAAAAAAATACGTTAATCTGACTTGACAACGGTGAAAAGCTATCTAAAGAAAAACGTTTAAAAAACAGCACAAAGGAGAGGAACATCAATTGGGAATCGACATTTTAAAAAGACTTTATTATCTTAGATACACAGAATAGCCTTTAAGATGCGTTCTTGAATGTTTTTAGGATTATTTTCTCAGTTTAATGTAAATACATTGCGATTCTTTCTAAGGTTTCTCACAAAGCAGGTACATCCTGCAGTTCTATTTTTCCATCACCAGAGGGCGACGTTTTCCGTTTTTAGTTTCCTTCAGGTTTTTTTTTTTTTTTTTTTCCTTTTTTTTTTTTAAAAAGTACCATTTCTACCTTAGCAGTGACACAAAATAAAATTAGACAGGACAGGATAAAACATTAAAGGAGTGTTTTGGATTTATATTAAACCTTCCTAAATCAATGCTTTCCTTAATCACTTTTCATGTATGTTTAGGGTTGGTGTCCTGCTAAAACAGTGAACCTCCACCCTGTCTTCATGTCTTCCACAGCCTCTAACAAGTTTTCTTTCAGGATCGCCATGTATTTGGCTTCTTGGTCGTTTTGATTCTGGTTTTTCACCAATGTTAAATTATATGACTTCTAAAAGGCACCTATCTATCACATACAATCATGAAATAACTACAAGTTATTACACGTGAAGAAAGAGAGAAAGGAAGAAAAAACGAATGGAAAAAAGATGTAAAATTTAAGTCAGTCTGCGTTGTAGCAAAACTCTAAAATAGCAACAAAGAGTTACAGAGTAACTTCAAAATATCTAAGAGGAAAGAAAAACATCAAAAACAAATGGAAAGAAGAAAAACAGGTAAGCAGACAGAGTAAAAATGGTTTTATTTTGCTTATTCTTTGCCTGTCTCAGCCTGGTTGTGTTTATACAAACAAATTACTGACCTAATATCATATCTTACTATCTTCTAACGACTTATAATTGCGAATGTTATTGTCTAAATCTACAGATTCCCTCAGAAAACACAGTAAAGTTTAATTCTCCTCCTCTCCCCCTCAGTGGGCTCTCCATCACGGAGTTTTCGGGTTGTACTCTTTGTTCTGCTGCTCTCTCAGCTCAGCAGGCAAACACATCTCTGTTCAGTGTGCAGCTGCAGCCGGCAGGCCCCGCTCGTCCTCCTCCTCCTCCCCCTGCTGCTCCAACAGGCCGCGCAGGCGCATTGGCTCTTCTGTGCGCTCTACTGTTTGCATTGTGTCTGAACTGCCGGCGAGCTTTAAAAATATTATACCAACCGCGGCAATGTCGGGCAGGTCGGTCCGAGCTGAGACCCGGAGCAGGGCGAAAGATGACATCAAGAGGGTTATGGCCGCTATTGAGAAAGTACGAAAATGGTAAGAGGAACAAGATAAAAAAGCAGGCTTCGTTATCTAACACGAGAAAGGCTTGCTTGTTGGGGGAGGAGAGGGAAGGAGCGAGACGGAGAGAGGGATGAAATAGAAAGATAAAGGGCAGCTTTTTGAACGGCGTTCTCAGCAGATGTACTTGCGGCTCAGGTGCGACCGGGGCGCTCCAGCGAAGAGCGCCTTTCCCGGCTTTCGCGAGGCTGCTCGCGGGGGAAACACACAACATATAGCCGGTGTTTTTCCGTTGATTTTTAACGGCAAAAAAAGGGTTGAACCCAGAAGCCATTTCGATGTAGTCACATGAAGCCATTGCTGCCCGCTGCCGAGCTGCGAGCGCAGGCGGCGGGCTTTTAGCGGCGAAACGGCCGATAAGTCTGGACGCTGAGACAAATTTTGACGACGGCGCTCTTGAGTCGGAGCACTTTAGTCCGTGTGGAGTTTTAAATTAAGCGCTTTGAGTCGCCCTTTAGGTCTGCCGGAGAATAAGACACGGTGGGGGTTGGGAGAGGGAAGTAGGCTACTGTAGTGCATGGCTGAACACGTAGTGACTCAGTCTTATCTTTTTACACCAGAAAATCACATTCTGTTCTCTTTAAACAGCGCAGAAGCACATGTTTGTTCGGAGGACATGACATTTATGGATGTAGCTGTTCAACTCCGCTCGGTGTCAGAATTTAATCAAATTTTTATTTAATCAGGCGGATTAATCAAACGTCCCCGGGTCAAAGGCAGAAGTTTGGTTTTGTTGTAACTTTAGCATTTTTGTTTCACAGAATAAAAGCAACATAAAATATGATGGTGTGATGTAAAATAAATATAAAGACGTTTATATTTTAGGATATTGTTCATTTTTATGTCCTTTTCGGTTTTGTAAAAACTTCTTTTGAATCAGCCATGTAACCTCAGAAGATTGAATAAGTTGGAAATACAAGGTTTTTTTTATTATTTACTTTATTAAATTCTGTTTTTATATCAGGGTTTTCTTTAACAGTGTTTTCTCATTATCTATTTCTAGTTACATGAATATTAAACCAGAATATTAAGGTTTCTACACTTTTCCCTTACTTTAACGAAATTTGACTCTAAATATGTAATTTTGCTATAAAGATGAACACTAAAGGGAAACTTTTTTTTTAGCTGACACTGGTTTAAAAGCTTAGATCGACTAGTTACTCGACCAATATTGGCATGTTGAACTTATTTTTTGATTGAACAGCAGAAGGTTGCTAGAAAAATAAACTATAACCAAATGAAGAAGGTGCTTATAATTTGTTTCTTTCTTTTCCCCCCTCTTCCTTTGTCCCTTTCTTTCTTTCTTTCTTTCTTTGTCCCTTTCTTTCTTTCTTTCTTTCTTTCTTTCTTTCTTTCTTTCATAAAATTTTTCTTTCTTTTACATTTTTGTGGTAAACCAGTGACATGTTTAATCAAAATTATTCTAAACAGATGAAACCTTCAGAGACGTTTTATTTAATTTTTTTTAGGTTTACATAAATAGTAACCTGTACATTAGTTATATAGTACCATATATAATAATAAAATAATGCGTGTCCACTGGATTATTGTTTGTGTTGTTGTCTTGACAACTTTTATGCAGATTTTACTTCATGGTAGTGTTGATTCAATTCAGAAAGCACATCCACATAATATAGACATTTATATAATAATAGAATTTTTTCCAGTGGTCGATTACTATCATTTTAAAATCTAGATTTACTAATAAGTCACTGAATTAATCTTTAAGGGTTTTAGGTGAGTTACAATGATTAGAATAAGCGTGATTGATATTAAAATATTTTAATAATGACTTAACTGACTTTGTGTGACTAAAATAAAGAAAAGTTTTAATACACACTAATAAAAATCTCATTTTGATTTCTAAAAGTAACCTAAATAGCTAAAGTACTTTTTAGCTGTTTCAGATAGCAGCAATAAATGAAAACATTTTGGATTTTTCCACTTAACATGCAATATGTCAGAGAACCTCAGAAAACTCTCAATGCAAAGGTCGAAATATTCACATAAATCACCTTGTTAATAGTTTTATTACTTTTTCTAGTATAAGTTCGTATACTAACTTAGTATAACTTAATATACTTATACTAGTATAAGTATACTAGGGAGTGGTTAGGTTGCCACGTTTCAGAGCGTCTTTCCACCAGAGGTCACTTTGAATCGACTTGTTTGTCTGTCCAATCAGGGAGAAGAAATGGGTGACGGTCGGAGACACGTCCCTTCGCATCTACAAGTGGGTCCCGGTGACGGAGCCGAAATCAGACGACGTGAGTTCATGATTATTAGCAGATCGTTCGCTGAAAATGTCACATATAAGCGAAGCGCAGACTGTAGCTCACTGTGTCTCCTGTGGTGCAGAAGAACAAAAATAAGAAGAAGGGTAAGGACGATAAATACGGCTCCGAGGTGACGACTCCGGAGAACAGCTCCTCTCCAGGGATGATGGACATGCATGGTGGGGTTCCGACACTCGTTTTTTTTGTCTTGTGCTTGTTGGTCGTGTGTTTTCTGACTCTCGGTCTGCCCTGTTCCAGATGACAACAGTAACCAGAGCTCCATCGCCGACTCGTCCCCAGTGAAGCAGGAAAACAGCTGTAGCACCAGCCCCGCCCTGGAGTCCAACGCCGCGTCTCTCCGCGACAACGGCGAGGCCAAGACTGACCAGAGCCCAGACAGCAAGAGAGGTCAGACCATCACAGACACAATGAATACCAGTATACACCAGTATGTACCAGTATATGCCATCTGCTGTTTTTGTCTTCATCCTCAATTTAAAGCAACCACTTCCCCTTTGATAAAACCACTGCACACCTGTGTTGCCCCGATCCAACCTCCCGGGAATTTAACCGTCAACTTTTGTGTCTCACTTCTTGGATCTCAACAAAAACAGACAAATAGTTTCAGCTTGTTAGCCTTATTTAATCTGTCGCTCTAAATAACCAGGTTAAACGGGCAGTACTGTTTTTCCAGGCACGTAGTGCCATTTTATTGCGCAATCAAATAACTATGCTAACTTTCAGTTGTTATAAAAATGTTATATATATCAAATATGACTAGGATGTCATCACACCATCACTCTGTTTTTACGCTGGTAAAAACGTTAAAATTTTTAACGTTTTTGCCATGTTCAGTTCCACCAGGTGTTTGCTAATCGCAACTGGCTAGTCTGAAGGAGCTGAGTGGGCATGTTGTGAGGGAGGGCTGGTCTGTGAGGTGAAATCTTGGAAGTTTAGAATCTGCAATTCTGATGAGGAGCTTTGTCCTCGAAGGCGGAGCTAGGTCCACCCAGGCGTTTTGCACAGCTAAATGGTTGCTATGGAGATGAAAGGATTTCTCAAACATGCATAAAAGAATCAAAGCAACACTTTAGGTATGTCTTTGATGTGGGAAGAACATAATAATAGCGTTCCATCATGGAACACTAAAAAAAAAAAAAAAAATTACATTATACTACCCCTTTAAGAAAGTCATTTCAAGACTCTGAGAACAAATCTCCTGAAACGTATATACATTTATCATTTCTAAACATATATTCATAGAAAATGGTTGAGCAGTTCTGATTTATGTTTATAATTTTTTGCTTGAGGCGTTCCTCGTTTGGACAATTATTCACTCTAGTTTTGGATGCCGCGAAGCTAGAAGGATTTTTGCTTTTTTAGCTTTAAGACATTTATGATGCATAACCATGGCAACAACTTATTATTGTTTTTGCAACTCAAAAACTAAAATAACACATGAACTCTGACCCCAAATTCCAGAGTATTTGAAAAGGAGACTTTATGGATGCAGAGCAGGACCAAAGAGCAGCAGCAAATGACCAACAACTGATGATGTCATCCTTGAAGTGTAATGGTGCATTCACACCAAACGCGTTTTGTACGTCTGCTATACATTTGAAGGCTACATAGAGGCGCATTGAACGCTCATTGTGACACATTTCGCGCGTCTAGCGCGATTTGCAGCATGAGACGCTTCAAATCAGCAACCGATTCGAGGACAAATCCATTGCCGTTGTTTTTCACGATTTTTGGCGCGCCTCCACGTAGTCTTTGAATGTAAACCAAATGCTCGAAACGCTAGGTGTAGAGCAAAATGTCAAGCATCTGCATTCAATTTCCACACGTGTCGAACTTGAAGCGTTGGACATGTTTTTGACGCGCATAATGATGCGTTTAGTGTGAACGCACCATTACTGTGAAATATGTTCGCTCCCCTGAAATTGAGCTGTTTTCATGTCATGACAGACGGCAACCGTCTCCAGTCAGAGGCCGCTTCAGATTTGTTGCAAAACTGACTGCTACCAGAAATCCTTTAATTTTCCTTTTAGGGGAAATAAAGTGTAATTGATTTGATTATTTGTTTCAAACAGAAAGCAGCTGGATAAAGGATAAAATAATGTAAAAAGTAGAATAAAAGAATGACATAGAATAAGAACCCGATCAAAAAAAGGGCTGCAGTACAAATTTAAGTGCAAACTTTTGCAGTCTGTGCAAGAAATCTAGCACTGCAGAATGTATTTTTTCCCTTTTTATCAGAGCATCAACATCTCTGTTGGCTTTGTTCAAACTTAATAAACAATGGGGGTGGGGGTCGACTTTAATATAATTTCAGCTCTTTGGGTTGTTTGCAGTTACCCCAAAGAACCACTTGGGGTCACTAGAGTGTCGAAAAAGGGGCCATGAAAAGAGCCAAATGCACACTGAAGAGTTCTTGTCTGTATTTGCTGCCTGATGAAGAAGTGAGAGGTTTGCCTGAGATTTTTTATTTATTTTTTACTGTGTTGTGATTTCAGGGAAGAGCATCCCTACATCAGAGACCTCAGAGCGAGCACAAAGTGCCAAGAGAGACAGTCTGTCCTCAGGGGAGAAGGATTCCTCAGACAGCAAAGCCACTCAGGTATGAACACGTCCGCACATCTGTCTGCAAACCTCTCAGAGGAGCAGGAAACAAAGTGTTTAAGTTTTCACATGCTGGTCCGGATCTCTCTTCTACCTGCTTTCTAGGAACAACATGGCTAATAAAGCAAAGGTTCTTTAAGAATAAATCACTGGAAGAATGAGAGATTTTACCTTTTGTTGTTGTGTGACTTGAAAACATGACTTGTTTCATAAAAAGCCTAAAAAACCAGAAACAACATTTTCTGTTTCACTCATGTTTCAGATCACAGTCCTGAACAGTGATTTCCTTCGTCGTCTTCTTCCAGTCGGAAGAAGACGACAGGAAGTAGCCGGAGGAGTCATGTTTGTTAATGAACAGGCTTATTCACGTATGTTATTGATTGGCTTTCCTGAACAGTTACTGAATATTTAAAGACCTCTAGTGTGGACATGCTGCCCTTGAGACATGTGCGTCCCTTTAGAAGTCCATCTGTAACATTCTCACTCAGTCATTAAAGGACCCCTGTGGGGGTTTTGACCTCCAGCAGCTGCTGGTAAGTGCTGACTAGAATTAGCTAAAATGCTAATCCTAGCTAGCATTATAACTCATTTTGATTTAAAAACTAAATCTAATAGACTGAATGGAGTGAGTTAAAAAACAAACGGCATTGTCAGTTTTTTTTTTTTTACTGAAAAAAAAAACAGCTGAAAAAAAGCATTGTGATAGCCCACATGATATTGAGAACATTTTAGCTATCATTAGGAGTTTAACTAATTTTAGTTTTTAATGGGTTTTTGTCATAGTGAATGGAGCATAGGTCAACCTGCTACTGGTACTCTACATGCTAGCATTAGTATTTTAGCGAGCTGTTGCATTTTAGTTTACACAATGCTGCTTGCACCCAATTTTATGTCTTCTGCAGTTGACTGCAAATGCTTCTGTAATTTTCACTAGTTTAGTTTCTTTTTATCATATAATTGCACAATTTGATATTTTGAAAATAAATTTGCTTATTGGAAACTCGGCAATTTTGAAAAACCCTTTTTTTTTAATAAAATGATTTGACACTAGTATTACGTGATTTTATTTATTTTTTATTATCAAATTTGGCCTATTTTGCAAAATTCCAATGAAAACACTCTTTTTGCATCACACAAGTCACGTGATCAGCAGCCGGAAGAAGACGACAGGAAGTAGCCGGAGGAGTCATGTTTGTTAATGAACAGGCTTATTCACGTGTGTTTTTGATTGCCTTTCCTGTTTAATGGAAGCACTGCAATTGCAAAGTAGTTTTTTGACATTAGAGTTTTGCACACAGTGATAATGGAAACACAGCTAGTCACTGGTCGGGGCAGAACAAGGTGAAAACTGCCTGCCTGATCCTATCTTCTTGGTGCATCTTTGCTTATTAGATGTAATCATGCTTTGTATTTTTTATTTTGTTTGTTTGTTTCTTGCTTACAGGATCTACAGGAGGAGACCCCGCCCAGCAAGAAAAGCAAACTGGAGTCCTCATCTCAGGACTTTGAGGAGAGCTAAATGTTTTGGGCTGAGTCATTCTCTCCTTCACCTTCCTGTCTCCCTTCCTCTGTACCTCCTCCCATTAACTCTAGATGATTTAGGGCTAATGGACACACCGGCTCTCCTCTTAGATTGTTTTTTTTTTAATTTTTTTTATTTCCCCTCCCTGCTCTTCAAAACCAAGGGGAGAACGGACGTCTCTCTTCCTTATCGCTGTTTCCCACTTCCCGTTTCGCCACCTTTACCCAAACACTCCCCCCTGCCACCGAGGGAGGATGGATATTACCTCTTGTTCAGTGGTTCCCCCTCCGTGCTTCCTTCCAGTCCTCCACATTTTGTTTTGCCAAGAGAAGCGCCAGACCCAAGCTTCGGGACAGCGCCGGCAGCTCAGCCCAGCCACCGCCAGACCAGAACACAAACCCCGACCCGCTTCTGTGACTTAAAGAGCTCTGAGATTAGGACGAGACCGATCGCAGACGCTGCTCTGAGATCACTCTTTTGTTTCACTGCTAACGGTTTAGCTCAGGATAAGTCAAGGGGCTAACCTGGTCTCAGATCAGTGGCTGTGGCAGCCCCCGTCCCCCCACCAACCCCGAAGGCCACGTCTCGCTTTCAATCCTCCCGATTCGCCTCCTGCTAGACTAATGTTCTCTTTTGTTTAGGGAATGTTTAGTTATATCTTTTTCTTTTTTTTTCTCCCTCAGGAGGGTCAATGCACTGTTATGGTATGTCACAATCGATCACAGATAGATTTGCTGCTGTAGTGGATGTCTTTTATCTCTATCCATGAAAAGTTCTCCATGTTTGTGTTTTTATTTTTCTCCTAAAGTGAATTAGCTCGCGGTTCGTAGAGGAAGAGGGCAACGGTACACGCCGAGACGGACTATTGGATAAGTAGTGAGGACAGACATGGTTAGAGCGCGTCCCGGAGGTGTGTGCCTTGAGTTGTTACGACTAATACAAGTTTTAGTTCAAGCTGGTTTGGACTTACGTTTTGGTGCCATGCTTTGTTTCGGTTTGTTTTGTTTTTGTTTTTGCCTTATAACTGTCACTAATTAGTTTTTCCAATTATTTATATTTAACTCCTCCTGATAGGATGTTTTCTCTGAGGAAAAAGATTTGGGAGATATTTGCTTCCTTGCTGCGAGTAAAAAAAAAACATAATGTAATTTAGAGCGACACCAAGTCGGCTGTACGTAAATCCAGGCAGTTATTTGAGCAGCAAGGTAGCATTACGTGTTAGCATCCGCCCGCTCGCTTTCCTCCCAGCAAGGAAGTAAACGCGTACTACTCCTATAAAACGCATCACAATTAGGTTTTAACACTACCCAGAAGTTGATCATGTTCATTCCTTTAAGCACCTGCAAAACTCATCCATCAGAACTTCCGGTTTCTTTCCATATCACCGTCGACTCGCATCTAATCGTCTTATTTCCCTGTACTGGTTACGTGTCACTACTCGTCTACGACCTACACATGCTGGTGCCGTTCGCCACTAAAGGTCCGTGCTCTTTCTTTCTTTTTTTTTTTTTTTTTTTTTCGTTCAAAGATTTGGTTCTAATCCTCCTTCAAGGTGCTGTCTGTCGGCTGAATCCATACACACGTGGCATAGTGCCCCCTGACTGTGTGCTAATTAGTGCAATTTACTTGAACTTTAAAGTACGGATTCAGACCTACGACCTCTAATGTAAAAAAAAAAAACAAAACCTCACTCATGTTAAGATTTCTTTCATTAATCAATCCTGAATGAATTTAGATAACTGAATCACTGCAAACCGTGACAGGACGGGGCTACGATGCATTTTACAACCCAGAATCAGATTTTCAGCAAATCAGCATTCACACGGATGGAGAGGAAGGAGTTTTAAAACAGTGTCTCGGTTCAGAGGGTGGATTAGCATATACCTCATTCCCAGTCCAGCAGAGCTGGAACTTTAAAAATGCTATTGTATTGACATTAACAGTTATAAACAGCATTACATATACACTCAGTTTAAGAAAAACAAATTCTCACTTATGTTGTAGCGTTCACTTGATTGAGCCAATTGATTTATAGTTTGCTCATAACTGTGTGTAAAAAGAAAAATGAGAAAAAAAGAGCTGTGAGATGAAAAAAAATCTTTTTTTTCTTGGGACCATTTTTTTCTTTAGATCATGTACAGATTTATGGTTTGGTTTGACTTATTTATTCCATCAGTAGTGCTTGGTTTTGTTTTTATCATGTCCAATGGTTTTGTTTTCTTAATAAAAGTCATACAAATGCTTTGTCTGTGTCAGTCTGTTCGAAACTTTTGAAAAGTCCTCCATTTCTAGAACAAATTTGGGATTTTACTTTTTAGCTAAATGTCACATTTTATCTACATGCTTTTGAATGCTACAAGTTGATGTCCTTGGATTTCATTATGTTTGCTCTTAACTTCCTACCACATAGACCTAACCTTTATCCTATATCTTTTAAATGTCCACCTTCGAACTGCACGGACACACTCGGTTAATAAAGTATTGTTTGATATCGTGTCTGTAATTGTGAACTATAATAAACACCAGTGGGGTTTTACGCATGCCCAAACCGGACGCAAATTCTCGCATGAACTTAACACGCTGCTATATAAACCTAACTTTTATCCTACATATTTTAAATCCCACTTTAAACAAAACTACATTGACACATTCGGTGAATAATGGTTTGTCATTGCGTTAGCAATCGTGAACCTTAACGCCAATTGGCTTTTGCGCATGCGCCAACCGGAAGCAAATTCTCCCATGAACCAGGAAGGGTTTTCGGCTACCGGAGCCTGGGAGCGGTTTTGGGTCTGAGAGTGGTGCGAAAAGCTGCAGCTATATATTATTGGCTAGACTCCTCTCACAAGAGGCGTAACAAGGCGTGCTCGAAGTATGCCAACTAAACCTTATTCAGTGAAAATGATATTCTAGAAGTGGAACTGACCCTAATAATGCGAGCGGATGTTCTACTGAACCAGCAGTTTTAAGAGTTTACTGTGCGAGGTAGGGAACGGCCCCGTTTTCCGCGTTTTAATTCACTTTTTTCAGCTGCAGTGAGTCGTTGTGCTGCATTAGCTTAGCTAGCTTGCTAAACTCAATCGAGGTGCTAACGGTGACAGCTGGTGAGTCCACGTAACCTAATGAATGAAAGCACTCAAAGCGAAATGTAGCGTTTCGTTTTAGCTCGATTTATGCAGTTGACAGGAGTGGCAGCATTATTTATGCCTATTATTGTACAATTTGATGTTGAATATGTTAGCACACTGCTCTGTTGAGCAGCGCTTTCAGCCTATAAAACAGCCGCATGTGTTAGCCGGCTAAGGCTACTTCAGCTGTGTAGCAAATTAGATTAAACTGAGAACTAAATAAATATAATTAAAAAAAAATCTCCACATAAAGCAGCAGTGTCGGGAAGAAAAAAGTTGAACTGTTTGGTTAAATGATATATAGACTTCATTCAGACCGGTCTAGGGAGGAAATCGGATATTTCTTCTCACCTGTTTTTTACGAGCTGTAACATTTAAATAAGGGACACATGACCTTACACACGTAAAATTATCATGCCTGCATGTAAAAGTGGGTATTTTAGCAACATATTCAAGAGTTGTTTTTCCATTTCAGCCTGATATTGTCTTAAATGAACTTTGATATAATCCTAAGACTATGTATTTGGTTTAAAAATGAAGGAAGGCTCTCTAAACCGTGTGGCAGATTCTCAATTTATATCGAAATATCCTCCTGAATACCAGTAGTTCATTTTTGTCCTCTGTAGAGGACATTTCTAAACTTGAATATCTCCCACCCCCTGCATTCTACTGAATTAATTCCTTTTGGTATCTAGAGAGGACATTTAGGGCTTTTCACTGATACCACATGTGAAGGGGTGGGACTTTTGTACATACCTTTTTCTAATTCATAAAAATGGCGTTTATCAGTAATAACACATTTTATGGGAAGAGACAAAGTAAGTGCATTAGTATTCTAATTACCTTACAAAGACTGTGGGTTTAAAAAAAATGGTGATTGGACAATATTTTTTTTCCTGGTAGTCAGGAGGTTAAGTAAGAAATGACCTAAAATCTCATAAAATCACCACCATTTACATTTTCTTTCATTTCTTACTATGAAACTATGGTGCGTTCACTGACCAGTAAAGGTAAAATTTTTAAGCTAATTTCACGCTTCATTTCAATCAGTGAAACGGTGATACTATTTCAACAGCCTGATTGTAGTCTTCTCATACATGGAAACTTTACACTCAAACAAAATGACAAAGTTGTGACGTCAGGGAAAGAAAAAGGACATGGTGAAGGGGTAGGGTGGACAAAAAAACCAACGTGAAACATCAGCTGCCATGCCAACACTACTTGGTTTTCCCGTTTCTTAAACTTTCTTATTGCTTCTCTTCACCTTGCCCAGATCATTTGTGATGGCTACTACTGAAATGGAATCTGGGTCTACAGAAACCAGGTCTGAGCAAGGATCGTTGGACCCCGATTCGAAATACCCACTCAAAGTTCTTTACTGCGGAGGTATGATTGATAAACTCAAATCTGTCGCGCAATCGCGGTGCGTTTCAATGACCTCTAACCCGAGTTTTTTTTGTCTTCCTACAGTGTGCTCCCTACCTACAGAGGTGAGTTTCGTCATTAGACAGACAATGCACTCCCATTATTTGGACTGTAAACAAGCACCTGCAGATTATTTCTTTCGAGAGTTGTAAAAACTGGTGGTGTCTCCGCAGTACTGCGAGTACATGCCCGAGCCAGCCAAATGTAGGCAGTGGCTTGAGAAGAACTTTCCAGATGTGTTTGCCAAGATGACTGTAGGTGAGTACCTTCGAGGTTTTCAGAGGATTTTTGCTTCACTCCCCTACAATTTAAAGAGCTTAATTAATAGTGGCTAGATAGATTAGAAGTCTGTGTAAATACCAGTTTTCAGTAGCTTTAAAAGCTAAATTATTGGCTTGTTCCGTATAGGATCTCTTGTCTTTATAGGCTGCACTACAGTAAAGGATGGCAGTGATAGGAATGGCGTTCTGTCATTGGATACTTTTTAGGCTACAGAGCCAATGCATACAGAGCAAGATGGTGTTTTTAGATACAGCTGGATGGCAAATCTAATTCCAAGTTGAAGTATGCACATGCAGACGTGCCCTGGTGGGTGAGTCTGTCAGTCAGAGCTCTCCCACAGCAGAGCAAAACTGGACAGTGGCTGATTTGTCAGACTTTTGTGGAGGTAGATACGATTTGTTTCTTGTATTGGCTGGTCACTCCAAATGGCCTATTATGTTTCTCTGGATAAGTTGGGATAGGTCTGTTGGCTATGCAAAGCCAATTACATTTTTTGCACAAAATCACTTTTAGATGATATTTTAGTCTGCTCAGTTCTGCCTATGTTGAGCTTTTTTAGGACCTCTTGTCACTTTAAATCCAAAAAAACTGCTGCTGGCCACATCCCCCCACAACTCAATGTTTACACTCGTATATGAAAATGGCTGCTAACAGATGCGCAACTATACATTTTTGAAAAGCATTAGTGGAGCCTTTTGCACAACCAACAAGCATGCAGCAAGTGATTTCAGGAGGGTAAGTCAACAACAAACCATTTGTCTTTTCCAGCAGCCATTGTACAGCACATACAGTGGTAAAACCAGCTGACCAAATATGCTGGAGCTCCATTTGGGTTACTAGGTAACGGTGCATGTCAATTTTTGACCTAACATTCAGGTTTTTGAAACGGCTAATTTTCCAGACACCAAAAACTTTAACTTCTTGCCAAAAAACAGTTAGAAATTATTTTGTTGTTCTTTTGAGACCTGAGTGGAAGTACAAAAATATGTCAATTTTGCATAAAGGTCCCCTTTAAGGCTATTTGTGCACCCCTGATAATAAAAAAACAAATATTCATTATTATTCCACAGCAATTGGAGTAGCAAAGTAAAAAACCTTGTTTGTAAGTAAGCTAATATTTACTCCAGTAAACAAATATAATTTTTGCAAAACTGGTTGTAATTCTTCTTTTTGCTTCTTTGGTCCCTCTGGTCCGGCAGGAAATGCTCCCAAACAGGAATCCGGCACTGGAGAAGCTCCCCCCACAGGCGAAGAGGAGGAGAAGAAGAAGCAAAAACGAGGTATGACTTCACATATAAGTCTATATAGTCATATTTAATGTTTGTACGCTGTGAGCGCTTGCAACGAAGTCAAATTTATTGTTTGTGTGCACAATCTTTCCCAATAAAGCTGATTCTGTTTTTGGATATGATGTACCTGTGGGTTCATCTTTCCTGAAGATTCTCATCTCTCAGCACCATTGCTGTTGCCAATGACTCAAATCTTGCTTTATTCTCCTTTTCTTTTCAGGTGGGAGAGGCCAAATTAAACAGAAAAAGAAGACGGTGCCTCAGAAAGTCACAATAGCCAAAATTCCAAGAGCAAAGAAGAAATATGTCACACGAGTGTGTGGCCTGGCAACATTTGGTGAGACTTGTGCCGTTCCCCTCCATCTACGCTTGGCGATGTTCAGTTTTTTGCACGTTTGTCTAAATGTCAATCTCTTTGTTCCAGACATTGATCTTAAAGAGGCTCAGCGATTCTTTGCTCAGAAGTTCTCTTGTGGTGCCTCAGTTACAGCCGAGGATGAAATAATCATTCAGGGAGATTTTACAGATGACATAATTGACGTCATTCAAGAAAAGTGGCCTGAGGTAAAAAAAAAAAACGGTCTTCATGGAAAAAAGTTTCATGAGTTTTTATACCTGTTAAGTTTGGTGAAATGTACTTTTTTCCATCTTTATCTGTAAACTCAAACACATTTGGTTAATTTAAACCTTATAGCACTGCAATGTCGAACAACAAAATTCATAAAGGGCTGGTTTGGTGTTGAGATTTGTTTGAACTTAGCATTTTAAATAATAAATGTGTGTGGACATACAGGAATGAACCCAGCATACATACTTGAATAATAAATTGTAAACCATTAAAAATAGTATTTTAGAATATTAGATTTGAAACAGTTACAAAAAGGTAGGACTTAAAGCAAATATAAAATTTAATGTAAAACAGAGTTTTTGTAAAACATGCTGTTTTACAAAACTTACTTTACATTACATTTGATGTATTTTACTGGTATTATATGTGATAAACACATCGTAGTGTACAGTTCTGCATTGGAAGAGAAACAAATTGATTTCAAAATGGCCAGTGAAACAAATTACCTAACTTTGGACCCTGTCCAAACTGAAATGAACGCGGTGCGTTTCTGTAAACGGTAAACAAAGCATGGCAGGACACAGCGCCACAGAAAACGCTGTTATCGGCACCATGTCAGTGTGAAACGCTTGTGGGAGAGAGCTGGAGCTACGTCATCGTTTCAAAAAGGATGCAGCTCACTTGGCTACACGGATACATAAAGCCGCCATTTTGAAATTTAACCAAGATGGTGGAACCCGGTTTCAAAGAATGATTATTTCTAGTCTCCCAAAACACCAGATCTGTGTAGATCTCAGAATAAACGACAAAAAATAACCTCTTTGCTGATGCATCTAAAATCCTCTGTGTGGGCGGGGCCTAAATAAACTAAGAAAAGAGTAATGAATAATAACAATAAGGCTTTGGAAAAGACTTGAGAGACTGAAGTTTAGTTTTTTGCAGAACAATGATCATTAAATGCATCCAGAGCCACAACTGAATAGTTTAGATCATTTCATATTCATGGCCTAGCCAAAGTGTGTGGTTTGTTTTGTTTTGTTAGTGTTTGATAAAATTGATGGCTTCCTATTAGAAATCTGGAAAACTTAAGCCTTTGATTAGTTTGTAGCTCCAGAGGCAGGATTTGCTCAGGCAAAAACTTTCACACAACAAAACTCCAATTTCAGAAAACTGTTGCTGTACAAATCTGCAAACACAACACACCGTTTCTGAGTTCAGCATCTTTCTCCTTCTGTAGGTGGATGATGACAGCATCGACGATCTGGGTGAAGTCAAGAAGTAAAGACCAAATATGCACTTTCACTGGGATGGATGTGACCTGTAACATCAACAACAACCTGGCCAAATGTACACATTAAGTCATTTTATACTTATTTTATTTACTGTACATAAAATGGTGCGGACTTGGCCACTCACTTGGCGGCAGTTTTTTTTTTTTTTGTTAAATTTTTTTTTTTTAGTCAATAGCTGCTTTCTCTTGTTTGCCAAAGTGTGCTATGAATTAAGTCCTTCACAAATGTTCTTCACTCAAGCAAATCTGTAGGCTAATAAATTTCATTCTCCTCTGTCCATTCTGCTGTCCCGCTCTTCATTCCAGGTTGGTTTTCCATTAATGTTTTCGACGCGTTAAGTGTTTTCTTTTCCAGAGTGGGCTTTGTCGTCATCGCCTGCTTTATGAGTCCCATAGATGGCCGCGGGTTACTTGTTTTTCCTGCGACCTACTGCTCACCCATGAGTAAACCTATTCCCAGGTATAATAGTTTTCTAATGAAGCTCCCATCCCCAGACAGATAACATTTACAGTTGTTATAATGCTCCTTTGGGTCAACACCACTTCCCCACAGATAAGGCCGGTGCACCACTTTGGAATTAGCATGTTTGTCCGTGAGCCCTTTGCATAAGTGCAAACATGATTTGCTGTTCAACTAAAGACACCTGGTGCACCACGTCTCTAATCACTCAGAGCTGGTTGTTGCTCATCACTGGTGGGTCAGAAGATGAATAGTTCCCGTTCAGAGATCTGCTGTGCCTTTGAGTCACCCATCCTGGACCGGGTTCTGCCTCCAGTTCTGATTCTGGAGTTCATGTTTGGATTAATGGGGAATTTCTTGGCTCTGGGGATGTTTATCTTCTACATGGACACATGGAAACCCAACTCCGTCTACCTCACTCATCTAGCGGTTGCGGACTCCATCGTACTGTTCTGCCTTCCCTTCAGAGCGGACTACTACCGACGTGGGAAGGACTGGATCTACGGTGACATCCCGTGCCGCATCCTGCTCTTCCTGCTGGCCGCCAACCGTGCAGCGGGGATCTTCTTCCTCACGGCGGTGGCTGTCGACCGATACTTCAAGATCGTCCACCCGCGAAACCCCATAAACCGCCTGGGCTTGGGCTACGCTTTGTGGGTCTCCCTCGGCCTGTGGGGGTTGATTTTTCTGGCCACCGGGTATCTTCTCGCCAACGAGCACTTTTTCTACAACAGCAACCGCACACAGTGTGAGAGTTTCAACATCTGCATGGGCTTCACGCCTCTCTCCACCTGGCACAATGCCTTCTACGTCATCCAGTTTTTCCTGCCGACCGCCATCGTGGCGTTCTGCACAATCAGAATCACCTGGCAGCTGAGAAACAGGACTTTGGACAAACAGGGTAAGATCAAGCGCGCCGTTCAGTTCGTCGCGGCCGTGGCTCTCATCTTCATCACCTGCTTCTTCCCCAGCACCATATCTCGCATCGCCGTGTGGATTCTAAAGGTGTGGTATGACGAATGCGGACATTTCGAAAAGGCCAACCTGGCGTTCTACACGTCAGTGTGTTTCACCTACTTCAACAGTGTCCTCAACCCCGTCGTGTACTACTTCTCCAGTCCGGCGTTCAGCGGCTCCTTCAGAAAGGTGCTAAACAAACTGCTGGGAAGGAGCGACGACAAGGAGCCGACGCAGTCGTCCGACAACAACATTTCCACCGTTTATGGTGACGGCATCTAAAACCACTTGATGGGTGAAACGGCAATGAGTGAAAACGTGTTTTATAAGTTTATAGCTGTAATAAAAGGTAGAAAAGATGAACAAAGTAGCGCACAGACTTGTGATCTTTTTTTTTCTCCTTAGGCGGCGTTAAGCGGACCCCGCGTGAGCTTTCTTGCCTACGCGCGGTCCTGACCCCGCGTGCGGTTTTGAGCTTTTTTAATTATTATTATGGTTTCGGGAACTGACGGGACACCCGTGGAGCTGGGACTGTGGGAGTTTAAATAATCGATAAGCAGCGTTAATAGCAAATGGAAATATGAAGCAATTCATAGAGCGTTTTACAATAAGATCCGAAGTAAATGCTGATGGTTCCGTTTGGTGAAAGCAATTGACTCCATTCAGCATGAGTGAAGCTTAAGTGAGACGTGCTCGATAAATTACAACTGACCTCATTAGAAGTGTAGCTTTTCTTTTGCGTGAATCATGGATAAATTAAGAATCAAATGTTCTCCTGAACTTCAACATTTTATTCAGCTTTTGTTCTAGGCTTTCTAAAAATTAAGTCTCTTAATTTTAATAACATGCCTTAGGTCTCAAATACACATTTTCTAAATCAAGTCTTCAAAATATGTCTTATTGATTTTTATATGCCACTAACATATATATATATATGTGTGTGTGTATTTATACATTTGACTGAGGTTAGGTGTCATTATGCTGCAACAAAATTAAAAACTTAATCGGAATATGTATATTCTCATTATAAAAGTTTTTTTTTTTCATTAAGTCTCCTACTTTGACTTTTAATAAATTGACTACTTTTTTTCAATTTGATTTTTAAAAAATCTGCTAAAGGTTAAAAACCTATGATTTCATCCAACAATAAGCATTATCTCCAACCTCCGCCTTTTAAAACTCAGTCACTATAGCTGGAAAAATGAAGGCTTCATGTTGACAATTTTGTCTGCCTTGCTTTTAGGTTAAGTGCTGTATTAGTGTGTGTGTGTGTGTATATATATATATATATATGTATAATCAGTGAAAAAATAAATGTAAAGCAAACATGAGAAACGAATCAACAGTGACTTAATGACTGGCAGTGTCATTTAAAAAATATAAACAATATGGCTCATTGCCCTGGGATACATCCCTTTTGAAAGGAAAGTGGAATGAGGGAGTAAAATATGACATTTGTGCTAAAAATGATTGTTTTTCTGTCATATTGTAAGTTTAATAAAACATCGAGATTCATTATGGCTGCTGGGTTAGGGTTAGTAAAGTAATTGTTGACAAGTTATTTTTTTTCCACGTTCTCCCTCATTTCAGTTCCAAAAATAAATGCCACTCATTTTTACACTGCTTTAAATTTTACCATTTATTTCACTAACCCTACGTTTCTTAATTTTTAAAGAAATAGATCCATAGTTTTATATTTTGAAGTGTGAATTGTTCCCCTTCCCTGCCTGCTGTACCCGATACTTATTTTAAATGTGAGAAGGAAATAAAGGTTTCACTTTTCCATCCTAATTTTTAATTGTGCTGAAATACAGAAAATACAGAAACTGAGAGATGTAGTGAATCATTGTATTCATTGTAATTATTATTTTATATTATAGTTTTGTTGAAGAAAGCAATATCCCTGGCGGATGAAGACCAATGTAACTGTCCTAATTGTAACTTTCCCTGCAGGGAATACTACCAACATGAATAAAATGTTCACAAAATAAATGTAATGAAATTGTGGAATCCTTAATTCAGGTACAACAAAAAAATTAAGTTCTTAAATGAATCTGCCTATGTTAAAATGACAGGATTTTGTGAAGTTAAAAAATTACAATTTGATCCACTGTCAAATCTTTTTTCTCATATGTGATATGCAGCTACTTTATACTATATTTTCATTCCAGGAGGTGCAAAAGAGAGGAAAATTTAAGTTAGGAATAGACTATTGGAAGTCAAGAACTGAGTCTGACAGAAAATCTGGAAGGTCAAGAGAGCTGATACATTTGGAAAACTATTGCCAAGATGAGATATGGGATGCTGACAGGCACTGAAAGCTGAAGTACGGTCAAAAAATACTCAAAGTTAAATTAAGAGTGTGTATGCCTATGAAACAGAGTTTTACCTATTCATTCATTCATTCATTCATTCATTCATTCATTCATTCATTCATTCATTCATTCATTCATTCATTCCCTAACATCTGTTTTCTTTCAGGCAAACTTCACAGGATACACCAGCAAGTATTAATTCATTCAGAGTTGGGTTACGTCCCCTTCTCAATAACTACATGTTGTTCCCAAAGAACATGTCTATAACTTCACATGTTTCCAAAACTTGCATTTTTTTATTAAAAATTCCAAAACTCACTGTTATATCGGTTTTATATAAAGTACATGATTGTTTGCAAAACACACAAAAGTGGAGTGGACTAAAATTGAATGATAACAGGGGGTGACAGAAGTGAATCCTTTTTACTTTAATAAATTTATTCCAAAAATCCTTCATGCTGACTTCATTGGTCATTTATTTATTACTTGGAAAATGGGCAGAAACTGAGGTGTCCGAGCTTTGTGTGTGTGTCCTCAAACTCAGCATCATCTCTCAGGGTGACGTCAGACTGTGACAGTCGGGGCTGGGCAGGGAAACGGGAGCCGCTGGAAAAACATGTAACGGTGCAAGGTACGCCGCACCTTCCCTCCACAGCCCTAACAGAGACTCAATTCACAAAAAACAGACCAAGTAAGTCTGCAGAGCAACTTTTTCTGCCGTTGTCTGCTTGAATTTTCTGGAACATCCCATCACTGGGCGGTTAGTTGTCTCACATTAACTAGTAGTCGGCGCTTCATTTGAAGCTAGCTACTAGCTTTGGCATTCCAGCAGGCTGGAATTCAGGCTTTAGCTACAGGACACAAAACATAACAACAACGCTACAGTTTGCGCCGTGGGTTAACTGACAAAAGACTTATTTAAACCGCTGTACGCTGGTAACGTTTCAGTGAATACGTGGAGAGTTTATTGGAAGTGATGCAGCGCTTTGCTTCAAAGTTATCCCGCTGGAGCTCTTTTAATGACAGAGCCCAACCCAGATGTAACCAACAGCAACACGGGCCAGTCTCGTTATGTGTCCACTGGCTAACGCTTTATGCTCTCATTTGAGGGTACAAATGTGACGATGGAGACAGAAGAGCGTGGGTGTGTGAGACCTGGAAGTCTCGTGCTGATGTTTGACAGCTGCAGGTATGCTTGTTGTTTTGGTCTGGCCGCACCGGCTGGCTGGGTGGGGAGACAGACCCGCCTTGGTGATGTTTACATCCGAGGATCGCCCCTTTTCATTGCATAGAGTTTAGTTTTGTGTGTGTGACTGAATCATTCCTTTCTTTCAGACTGGACTGGGTGTTCATCTTCAGTCAAAAATCAGATGTACATCTCAAAATAAGATTTTAATCCACAAAATGTGTCGCATAAATCTTGCTAAAATTTCTATAAATCTATGAAAAAGCTAGCTGTCTTCCTGTAAGAGAAACATGAAAATACTGAGTGTTTGACGTGATGGGTGACTGAGAAACCCAAATAAAAAGGACATAGACTTCACATCACAACGGGAGCTTTATGGTATTTAATTTTTACTGAGGTTTTATTGAAACAAAACAAAATAAAAAATATGTGGTATCCTTGCAGTTACAGCTACAGATCTGCTAACTCTGCTCTCTTAGCGACTCTAACGCATGCATTTATCGGAAACATTTTATTGTAGCACTTGCTGCATGTTTACAGGTGAACATCTGCATGCATTTTGCCACTTCTATGTAGACTTCCTTCCCACTTCTGCACTGTCCTGTATTAAGCTTCATCGAGCTTGCCAAAAATAAACTTTGACTAGGCTTTCCTGTTGCTGCTGAAGACAAGCACCCCAACTGCACAATGACGCTGCCACCACCATGTCTCATTATGTCTCATACATATGTATGTACTCTCAAATTCAGACATTTGCCACAAAATTGGACAGCTTTTCAAGAGGCAAATGTAATCCAAACTATACCTTAAAGATGGATCAATTCAAGAACTTTTGGCATTTGAGAAGTTAAGCATTTCAGTCTGCTGGTGTCAACTGAATGGTGTTTCATTTCACTTTCTGATGACAAAGCTAAAGATAGGCAGAAGACGCACATTCACACTGAAGTGAAAGTTGGTAACGCAGTAAAGAAGTTAAAGGAAGAAATGCTCATGCCTTCAAGACTTTTCTGTTGTTGCTTGCGGAAGATTTCTGACAAGTTATGAACAAATGTAAATGAAAACAATTTACATTTGCATTTAATGCATTTCCCTGGGCATTAAAATACAATGACTACGATTCAGAAGTCTGCCAAGTAAAACATTTTCACACTTGGAAAATAAGCTTGCTACAGTGGTGTACAAACTAAAACTCCCATTTGTTCTTGATTATGTCTTTGGCATTTATATTTTGCGATCTCTCCATATTTAAAGGCTTTAGAGCTCTTGTAAGTGAAAAAGTGTCGAATTTTCCTTGAACTTAAATGTAATCCATTTAAGTGCTGAATCCATTTGTGTGTGAAACAGAGTGTGTGTTGTTCCAGCCAGTGTGAGTCATCTGTGTGGTAAGGCTTCTGTTCACCACCTACTGTATGCAAAAAAAAACAACAACAAAAAAACAAGCTGAACACCGAGCACGAGCCCTGAAGGACCTCACATTTGCAACTCACTGGTTATTGCAAATAGACTTTTTCATACGGTATTTATACGGTTTTCATACGGTTGTATAGCAGCTGGCATCGAAACACTGGGATGATTTATCGCTCTGTGAAGAGAAGACAGTAAAAGAGGTTTTATTATTATCTGTTAGAAATAAATACAAATAGATTCAATAAAACCTTTTGAGGTCAGTCAAAAGCGTATCTGGTTTACCGCACTTAAAGTAACACATCACTGTCAGAAATAGTTTTTAATTGGTTCAGTAAAATGTTAATTCAGAAAATGTGAACATTTACCTGCTGATGTCATCTTCATGCAATAAGGTTGTTTCAAAAGGGTAAAATTGACGAGATAAAGATATTTGCTCAGTGTTCATCGGGCAGAGTACTGTAAATATTTTAGGGCTCATACGATTAATCAAATTAATTATGATTAATCAAACACGAAATTAGTTGATTATTTTAGTGATTGATTCATTGTTGACTGGAGTCCATAGACTCTAAAAAAGGCCATTTACTGAAATATCAACACAGTAATTAAGTCAAAACTGTACAAAAATATACATTTTTGCATTTACAATGTAGAAACTTCTTTGTCTGTAAATATGTTCTGCCCAGAACTTGTCAAGTGGCATAGTTTTAGCTTCATCTGGTTCAAATTCTGTAAAAAAAAAAAAAAAAAAAAAACTAAAAAAAAATTCTATTACGCACATTTACGTATCCATTTATTAATCCAAAGAATAATCAACTAATCAACTATGTGATTGCATTTCAGGCAACAGAATTTTAGTTTTCTTATTAAAAAATGTATTTGATTTGCTTATTTACAACATTTAATTTATTTCTAATATTGTGTAAAAAGGTTTAAGTAGTTAATTGGCAGACAGTGTCATTTATTAATACGATTAATCGTAAAAATATTTGATTACTAAAATAATTGTCAGTTGCATCCTTATAGTATTTTAGCCAAGTTTAAGACCAAATTCATGGTAACCTTAATTCATAATGTCCACATTAAAAACTTACACTTCAAATATCATTAAAGTGATGTTATTATTACTTTTGCTATTGCTATCATTACTTTTAGTGGGTTGGATTAAAAGCTGTTATTCACTTTTTGGGTTGATTTTCATGCTCGGGTTTGTGTGTTTTCCCAGCTATCTTCAGTCACATTGAGACACAGGGTGACCGGGGTGGTGGGGGAAGGCCGTGTCCCCCCATCCTAATCAAGTCCCCCAACCATGGACAAACAGGGCCCCGTCACTACACCAGGCAAATCAAGTGGGCTAAAGCCTCCCAGTAAAATAGCCCGTCCATCCGCAGTACCATCTAGGACGTCCCCGTCATCTG